TGACTACGTTACTTATTTTCATATTGGAGTAGAGTTTCAAGACTACCACTCAGGATGAGAACAACTTTTGGGAAAGCAAGGCTGGGCGAAATTCCATGGGAACGTCAGCTCAACTCATGTCATTGTGGGAAAATTCTACTACCAGTCCTTCATAACCTTAGACGAAATAGGGTGAATACATCTCATATTAGGCTCGCTTAGTCTCCGCGACCCATAGTGCAGATGAGTAATGCTTCAGTAGCGTTACGCTTGTTGAGCGATAACTACCTACTAGCAAGTTGTAACGAGAGCTGTAATAAAAGTGACTGCAGTAAAATCCCCCACAACCCGTTGTCACAGAGACTGAAAAACGTGCCTCGTACTAGTGCGTGCTCTGTAATTGACAGCGTTTTATTAAAATAATGGAATAAAATAGGGCACCAATGGTGGGAGACGCAGTAGAGGCTATTTTTCGAAATAACCTCGGAAACACGGCCAGGTTGCGAAACTGATCACAGAAAGATATAGAATGAAAGGAGACACACCATCTCGGTTCCATCTACGAGTACTTTCTCTAATGCCCGAGTACGCATTCAACCATCGCCTCAAAACTCAGTCTAGCGACAATGGTCCGCATCTTAATCTACCATTTATTCGCGGCCCCAAGAATCCTATGGCCGTCTCGATAGTTAAAGGTTCCACAAATTCTAGCATTAGCATTAATCTCCATCGATGCCAATCGACTAAATGCAACTGTACCACATAGCACTAGATTTGCATAAGCCGTACTTCATAACTTGTCCAGTCGTTCTGTAAGATATGGCCATAATTTTCTAGTCAGGACCGGAACCAGACGTAAAGTGATACCTTTTGGCTTCTGCCCATGAAGATGGCGTTACAAATGAAGATATCTGATGTCCATGAAAATATTTATTCGGGCCCCTTTCCTCTACTTACCCATTAATCATCCTATGTCAGTTTTACCGAAACACCACTACCTCCTTCACCATTTCATGTCGACTTCGCTTTCAATTTGCTTACACTTTCCACTTATAGGCGATGAGGTATGGTACAGTGACTGAAGTCGGTCCTCTCTATGTCATCTCCTGAATAAGCTTTGGCAGCTTTTTCCTGGTCTCGTGATGTCCGCTGCTTGCAGCGAGGATCCCACACCTACTTACAGTCCTACTCCTCTTCAGCACAGGCGTATGCAATTGCTGCCCATTGGCAATAATTTCAGCCTAGAGCCACTCAATCAGTAATCGAACAAGTGATGGGGAGCCAGGGAAACGAGGGCTCGCGAAAATGCAGCGCTTGGAATGTACAACTTCGGGGTTCACAAAACTTCCAAAGTTAGTGCGAAAATGTAGGAAAAGTGGGTTTCCAAGAATCCCTTAATAGATTGATGTTGGAGTACCTTTCATTTCGTTAGAAGAGGCGAGTTGAAGGGATTCGTAAGTTGCTTCCACCGGAGGCTGTGGTTGTAGATTTGTGCGAATAGGTCTTCGGCGCATCTCTCTGCGACTCCGATGAATACTTGCTGGGCTTTTCTCCTGCATGTGTCATCCAAAGCCTGCTTCAGGAGGCACTTTTAGTTCTTAAATTAATAGTTCGCTATATGGATGACTACTTTGCTATTTGGCAACACGGAAAAGGAAACCTGGAAAACTTTCTTGCTTTGATGAACAGGAACGATGGGAAAACGAAATTCACCATCGAGTTAGAAAATGAAGGTGGTTTACCTTTTCTTGATGTTCGAGTTAGCAAAGAGATGACCAGATTGGGTCGAGATGTGTATAGGAAACTCACAAATGCAGGTTTCCTTTTGAATTTCTTCTCCAACCACACTTATGAGGTTAAAGTAGAAGTTATGAAGTCTATGATGATAAGGAGCCTGCGTCTGGCAAGATGCTAAAAATGACAAGACTCAATGGCGGTGCTGACGAAATGTCTGGGCATGTATCAAGTCCACGGTCGGACTTAGGAAATCTTAATGCATACTATGGACTCCGGGCAAGATGTGCTCCACTAGATCTGCCTGATAATACACCCAAGTTACGAAAACAAGGCCAAGCAACTTTTATATATTGACCTGCTTTGGCCTTACACGATCTGGTGTCAACGAATCCAAACCGGATCTGCAATTCATAGTCTTGGATACAAGTTACAAAATAGGATTTGCAAAAAGGAAAGAATGATTTGTCCCAGAAGGAATAATTTCACATGGTAAATTTCACTCATGCCTATCTAAGAACATTGCTATGCCTAGCTTCGTTTATTAGACGGAGCATATATGCAAATCCTTTCAAATTTTCCACTAATTTTCCACAATGATCAAATTATTATTTCTAGCCTGTGCTCGACATTTCCCAATGAAACTGCTTTCAGGCTTATACTTTAACAGCATTTCTCCTTAGTGACGATTGACTATTGTTTGAACTAGAAAAAACCATAAGGCGATTATATTAAGTCGGCTTATTGTTAAAGAGGATACAGACTTTGCAGGAAAAAGCGAATGAGGAGAAGATATAAGGTAAAAAATTGCAGTCCAAAGTAGAATCGTTATTTATGAAGCAATGACAACATAGGATTATAGAGAGGCCTTTAGGAGGCATTCATATTATTTTCACTGTCAGAGTATTTTTGTTTATGGGAGAAAAGATTATAAATGACTTTGGAACGGTATAAAATGTGACCTTCATTTCTACTCATAGGGCGCCTAACAACGAAGTATAGTACATCTGTGAAAGATTGCCGTGCAGCGAGGTTTGAATTTCAATCAAGGAAAGAGAGCTAATTACTTTTATTCTGGAAAATGTACAATAGAGCATTGAATGAGCCGCAACAGCTTTAACGCCTTGTGCAGCTGAAGGGAGAGTAAAAAATGAGGGATGATAATGTAACATAGGCTGACCAACGTGACAAATAAGTCTCCGGAAGGTCGTTTTACATCATATTTAATGGAAATCAGCGGATCATAAATATGGTATAATTATTAGAAATCCCCGCAAATTTTAGATTTCTAAGATGTATACAAAAGAAATACTCGAGTTGACCTATATTGAAGATAAAAGTGTACATCCGACAAGAGCGAAATGTTCTGATTTTTGACATTAAAAACTTTCATACACTCTATCTAATTTTTTCGTGATTAGCATGTTGAGCAAAAATGAGGTAGTGCCTAGCCTCTAGAAATGGAGCAAGAATCAACGGAAATGATCACATCTTCAGATCTGTCTTCCTGTGTGCACAGTTTTCATTTAACGAAGGGGTACACAATTTAGTTTTTAATGAGCCATAGCTGTAAACATTATCTTTAAGCACCTGCTAGTGCGAATATTCCCCCGATTACAAAGTAAGATACTGACTCACTGCGATTTTCGTACTGCTCACTCAAAGATAATTATTAATAGAGGTTGTTTGACCTTAATTATGCAACATGGTCATATTGGTGGGAAGACTTAGACGAACGCACCTTGTCCGGAGTTCATTGTCTGCATGATCATTTCCAAAGCTGGACCATGGACGTGGTACATTCTAAAACGTTTCGCCGGCATCGTCAGTGAGTATCGCCATTCTTAGCACCACACAACAACTCGTCAAAGAGAC